CAACTGAATGGAGAGTGAATGAATGAGTCCTCGCTGTGACACGGGGGTCCGACTCCAGCTCTGCTTCCCATTCTCGGAGGACCCCGAGCAAGGCCCAAAGGCCCCAGCCTGCTAGGACTTTCTGGGATTCCGTGGTCTCATTTCCCAGGGAACCCCGCCGCCTGGGAGCCAGCTCGAGGCCAGGCCGCAGCTCCTTGCATGCCCCTCTCCCGCCAGGCCCAGGGTAAACCGGCCTTCTGCAGCGGGAAGGGTGAGGGATAGACAGATACGGGGGAGCGCTTTACCCCCACCCGCCACCCGCCACCCGCCACCAGCGCGGGCCCAGCTGCCTCCGTGGTGCACCTGATGGATTCGTCTCCCATTATCTCTGCAAACAACCCCCTCCCGTGCTGCTCCCCTCGCTGCACAGATCCTGGAGGAGGATCCCACGCACACCCATGAAGAGGAAGCCTCTTCCTTCCTGCCCTCCCCGCGTCCTCCAGCCCCCATGGTCTTCTGTCTGCTGTCTCTCTGTCCTCCAAGTGATGGCAACTTCACAATCATCCACAAGGGCCTGGGACCTGCTGCAGCTTCTTAGCCCGCTCTGCGGGTCCTCACCTTCCACAGCAACAAGCCAGGCTCAGCATGTGGACCCCGACACTAGCCTGACCTCTCAGCCTCCAGCCCCCTCCCTGCAAATACAGAGAACCACACAGCAGCGCGGGGCAGGGAGCCCCTGAGATGACCCCGAGGGGACGCTAGCAGGAGCCCGGTATGGACTGAGCCCTGATGAGGCTGGCCTGGGCACCCCACAGCTGCAGGCTGTCCTGTGCTCCTGACAACCTGGGGCCTGGGCTCTCCCGAAGACCTGCGCCCGACCAGCACCAAGGCCCAAGTGCAACTCCCGGCTCTGCTTCTGCTCCCTGGGCGGTCCATGACCAATCATAGAATCATGTAAGAGCCCTGGGCCTTGGGCTTAGCCGGAGGAACACGGGGCTCTTAATCTTGAGGTTGTGAGTTTGAGCTCCATGCTGGGTGCAGAGATGACTTAAAAATAAAATCTTAAAAAAAAAAAAGGAGGGCACCAGGGTGGCTCAGTGGGTTAAAGCCTCTGCCTTCGGCTCGGGTCATGATCCCGGGGTCCTGGGATCGAGCCCCACATCAGGCTCTCTGCTCGGCGGGGGGCCTGCTTCCCCCTCTCTCTCTCTGCCTGCCTCTCTGCCTACTTGTGATCTCTGTCAAATGAATAAATAAAATCTTTTAAAAAAAGGAAAAAAGCCCTGGGTCTTGGTTCCCCACTGCATTGTGGCTACTGAAAGTCCGCACAAAATAAGGGGATCCTAGAGCATGCTGGAGAAACAGAGACTGGGTGGTCAGGGCACGCCTCTCCGAAGAGAGGACCCTGGGCTGGTGATGCCAAGACCTGGGTGCGGTGGGAACAGCAAGGATGGGGAGTTCAAAGGTAGAAATGAGCGTGGTGTGGGTGAGGGTCAGCAAGTGTGTGTTGGGGGGCGGTGCCCAGTGAGGCCATGGAAGAAGGGGAGGTGAGTGATCCTGGGAAGCCCACGTTTTCCCAGGGAGGGCTGGCGTCAGCACTGCCCCCAGCTGTTGGGTGCCCCAAGAGCTGTCTGGGATGTGAAAGGGCTGGCTGGGGGCTGTGGTGGCAAAGTGTCCTCTGAGAATGGCCCAGGGCACTTGGGACACAGGAGTTCATCTTACCTGCTTCCTGTGCAAAAGACAGAGGGGACGGCGGGCCACCTACAGTGCTCGTGAACCAGTGACATTCGGGCCAGTTGAGGGAGAACAGAAGGGCTCATTTTATTTGCCAGCAACAATGGCACTGGCCGCCCAGAGCCCTGGAGGAAACTGATCGAGTGCTATAATCTGTGATCCATTACCAATGTCTGCTGTGGGCACCGGCGGAGAGGGTGGAGATATGAGTGTCCCTGTTTAACTATCCCCAGGCTAGCTTCACCCTACGGGATTCTAGAACACCATAGTGAGGTGGGTCGGGGACTGACCCAGGAAGGCCAGTGGAAAGCACTGAGTCAGCTGTCTCCTAGGCTTGAAGGCACCACCAAAATGAACCAAAGGACATATACTTGAGGCCCACAGAACTTTCTGGCAAAGAAAGATCAGTTCTTGTCTTTATAAGCTCTTCAGAGAGAGTCACCCTATGGCAAGGGCTGCGTGTCCCAAGGCCTAGGGCCCTGGCTCTGTTACGGCAGCCTCCACGACGGCGCTCCAGGGGCAGCCTCTACGGCCTCCCTGCTGTTCCTTGAACGCACCAAATCTATTCCCCGTGCACCTGCCGATTGCTCTTCCCTATGCCTGGAACTCCCCTCCACGGCCAAGTCCTTGTCCAGGTTGTAGCTGAAATAGCAGCTTGGCAAAGGAACCAAAGTCACTTCACCTGTCAGGGCCTCAGTTTCCCCATTGTCATAATGAGAAGGGGACTTGGAAGACTGCTCCATGGCTCATGATGATGACGATACTGATGTCATTATTATTAGCACCACCGGCAGAGAGAACGTAACTAGGCTGTGCTCCAGACGGCTTATGTGAATTAGATCATTTGTTCTTTACAATATTCCTATAAAGGTTAAATCTCCAGATGGGAAAACCAAGGTACCCACACGTCCAATAACTTGCTCCAGATTGCTCACGCAGGTCCTGGGGTGTTGGTCCCCAAGCCCGGCGCCCTGGTTCGGAAGCCCATCTGGCCGCTCTGCTCTGCCTTCCCCTGGCGGAAGCACAGCTGTGAGCAAGGCAGGGCCCGGGGGCTCAGGAGCCCCATCTAGGAAATGCCGTGTTGGGTCACTCCTCTGGGTGACAGCGGGGAGGAACTGAATGAGGCCACGTCTGAGAGCTCGCTAAGCACACGGCAGCACTGGGAAAGCATCCGCCAGCTCTCCAGGACAGATCGCAGCCCTGACGGACCCCAGGGCAGCTCCCGGGAGTCACCAGCAACTTACGGGAAGCACGGGGCGTGCTTCCTGGGAGCGGAGCACCTGCCATGGCCGGGCTCTGGGGGCACAGGGGCAAACAGTACAGGGCCCACCCGCAGGGCCAGGAAAGGAGGCAGGGAGGCTCGCAGATGAGTAACTGTTGCCAGCTGAGTCTGCAGTTGTGCTGGGTCCCCTAAGCGAACCTGAGGGCCCAGGCGGTCTCAGGAATGAAGCCCTGGGGGTAGGGAGATAGGAGCCAAGCAAACAGGCGGAGGGGTGTCCCCAGGAGGGGGAGAGGCCAGGCCAAGGTCAGGAAGGCCCAGGGGGCGAGGTGAGTTCAGGAACAGACAGCAAATCAGGCAGGCCAGAGGGCAGAAGGAGATGGTGGTGAGACTGGCAGGGTCAACAGGGTCAGACCACACCCGTCCTCATCCCCCTATAACCATGCCGAAGGAAGGTTTTAAGCAGAAGCCAGACACTGTCAGGTTTTTGTTCAACAATGACTCCTCTGGCTGTCAGGTGGGAAGGAGGGGGACCTGGGAATCCCGGAAGGCTTCCTGGAGGAGGTGACATGCAGGTGAGCCTCGGGAAAGATGATATCAGTTGGCCTAGGAAGGTCAGAAAGAAGGGTGGGTAGTTCCAGAGGGGAGATATGAGCAGACAAAGGCCCAGGAAGGAAGGGCGGGGAGTTCTGGAAGGCAGAGCCATGGGGATAAAGACCTAGAAGTAGGAATGTTTCTGGAACGCTCACCTGGGGAAGCGGAGAAGTGAAAATGAGGTCAGAGGCAGATCAGACCCACATGTTGGTCCTCAGATGTAGGGGAGGAAAAGGCGGCGGCTGCTGCTCCCTCCACCTGCGCTCCTCCCCTGCTCCCGCGCCCCCCCCAACTCCGCAGGAGGAACCGGCTCACCATCTGGGTTCTGGCCACTGGGCTAGATGTCCAGCATGGGGTCAGAAGAGCTGGGCAGTGTGGCCACAGCTCCTGCCCTCCACAGCCTGGACTCAGGGACAGGGAGTTATACGGAGTGGCCCCTAGGGGAGCCTGGCCCTGCACACCCCACCCCCGGAGCTGCCCCAGAGTCTCACGGCATGGATCCTTGCAGGCCTGCCACGCCCTGGCTGTGATGGGGGCCCTCTCTAGGCCTCAATTCCCCATCTGAACGGCACACAGAAGACCACCCACCGTGGCTGTCATCTCTTGGGCACGGTGCTATGACCCTCACAGGGAATGTCTTCCCAGTACATCATCATTCCCATCACACGCACGGGGAAACTGAGGCTCAGAGAATCACTTGAGGCCTGGTCAGGATTCTAGATCCATTTCTCACCCACCCAACTTGCCTGGAAGTTCTCCAGGCTTGCCTCCTCCCCTCCGCACCCCCCCACCTCAAGTCTCCCTTCATGTGAGCCTCCCCTGCCAGCTCCACATTCTGCCACATTCCGCAGGGGACCAGGGGACAATCAGCATACCGCTCCCCTCTCCCCCAGCCCAGGCAGGCATCACTCATCCATCCCAACCCACATCAACCCCTCACTGCTATACTTTCCCTCCACTCCATGACATACAGCCTCAGAATCCTTCTTAACCCGGCACTCTGGGCAGCCACTACAGACTGATGAGAGCTGGCATCCAAGAGAAAACCTATTTGCCATCCTTGGCCCAGTCTCACCAATCACTTTATAGAAAAGGTGACTGAACCCCAGAAATGGGAAGAGACTTCTCAAGGCCACTGGTGACTTAGTGACAAAGCCAGGCCTGGGACCCAGTCTCCAGACTCGTTTCTGGTCCCAACCCCTCTCTTTGGTGAACAGGGCCTGTGGTCCCCAGAGATGACACACAAGGCAAGGAGTCCCCAACACCCACCTCCACCCCAGTTCAGTTGGCCCTACACCAGCCCTCTGGGGACAAAAGAATCTAAGCGAAGCCTGCCCGGTCTGGCTGGTACAGCAGCCACGCGCAGAAGTCCTTCCCATGGCCCTCTTCTGGGCAGCTGCACTGCTGTCCCATCAGCCCAAAGCCGACGGCCACCCAGGCCTCCCCGCCAACAGTTTGGGGGAAAAAAGCTACTCACCACTGCTGGACTTCCTTCTCGGTAACTGCAAGAGAAAACAGAAGCAGCCTTTTAGCTCTGGGAAGTGCATTAGGAGACAGGCAGACCCAGGGAAGCTCCTTCCTGCCCTCCCCAGCCCGCGCCTACGGCCTACCCACCCATGTCCCCCAGATGATCTGTCCCAGTCAGGAGCTGCATGTCCAGCCACCCCAGCAGGGGACAGCACTGGCCTATCCCTCCTGAGGCCGACTGGGCTTCTAAAAGGACTGACAAGAACAGCCTCTTACATGTGGGGTTGTCTCTCCCTGCCGTCCTGGGGGCTGGGGGGGGCGCAGGAAAGAGCCTCACACCCAGGCCAATGTTTGAGATACGCTGTCCCCCAACTCTCAGCCCGGGGACAGCACCGTTGGAGAAGGCACCCGGGTGCCTGCCTGCGTGTGGCGGGCCAGGGCAGGAAGGCTGAGCAGCCCCCCTGGGCTCTGGCTGCACCCAGCCCCCTCCCCTCCTCGACCTGGCCCTCCGGCCCCCCACGGCGGTCAGTTCCAGGTTTTTTACAGGCAAGACGAGAACAGAGCCATGAACCAAAACCTGGGACAAGCCACATAATGTGGTCAAACATCCAGCCAAGTCCAAATAGTCATTCCGTATTGAACCATGAAACGAACAAACAAAATCCCCCTCTTTTTTTTCTGAAAAGTACTAAACTGGCTCAGGTTGGAACCAAACCAGGGTTCTCTCTAGGATCACAGAATTAGAACAGGTAACCACCTCCTGGGCCACACTCATTCTTTGCAGGGGTGACCCTGGGAGAGTGCCTCGGTTTCCCCATTTGTAAAGCAGGAGTCCTAGGACCCGCCACAGGAGCTGTGCTGGGAATTCGATCAGAACAGGTGTGAAGCGGGTGTGAACGCTCCTGAGCCCCTGGCCCGCCAACGGGCTCCGCGCAGGCTTGAGGAAGGAACGAATGCAGGTAGAGGTGAACGGATGGACGGGAAGGTGGGTGTTGTGTGGGGGTCAACTGCACAACGGAATGGCAACCTCTTCCCAGGGAAGTGGGAAGGGAGGCCCCACGGGCTATCCCTGAATTGCTGTGCCCGACGACTCGAGGAGGCTACTTGTCAAATACCCACTCAAAGGAAGCCAGTCCCAACTGCCAGATACCAAGTGCCCACTGGCTCCGTGCCAGGATGGGCCTCTGTGCTTTGGCTCAGCCGCCCTGACAACAGGTCCGAGGGAAGACAGCCTTCCTCCACCCTGGCTCCAAATGGGGAAACTGAGGCACAAAGGGGGCCAGGACATGAAGTGAGAGAGCAAGGGTCTGCACTCCATGTGTGGCTTGGCCACCTGATCCACAGCCTGGAACCTGGTGGGCTGTGAATCAGGACCTGGGGGGCCAGCTGGAGGCCCCCCGCCAGGTTCCTCCTTGCACAGCCCAGATCTCAGGCGGAGGAAGAGGCTAGTTCTCGAGTAGGCAGCTGGTAAACAGAGGGCACGGCTATGGTGGGAGGCGCTGGTTACTTGGATCAGCCAGACCTGGTGTAAAGAATGCAATTTTCCCAGAGAGTTTTGGCAGAGGGTAGAAGGTGGGAAGGAGGTCAGGCGTGGGGGTGGAAAGAGAAGGTGACCTTGGTCTAACCCAGGCTGAGCTGCCCTGGGCTCGCCACCCACACCTGGCAGTGAAGGGCTGCAGGGGCACAGGTGATACTCAAAGCCGGGACCTGGAGAGACACAGGACCCCCATCACAGCACGGGCAGGGCTTCCGGGCACAGGCTGCGGCGCCGGACTAGGCTGGCCGGATTCAAACCCAGCTCCACAGCTTACTAGCTTGTGTGTCCTCGGGCAAAGTACTTCCCCTCTCTCAGCCTCAGTTCCCTCATCTGTGAAACGGGCTCTTGTGAAAACAACAATGGCTTGATGCTCTTCTGCATGAGAATCCACAGGTAGGGGCGTCTCGTGGCTCAGTCGATAAAGAGTCTGCCTTATGCTCGGGTCATGATCCCAGGGTCCTGGGATCGAGCCCTGTGTGGGGTGCCCTGCGCAGCAGGGAGTCTGCTTTTCCCTCTCCCTCTGCCCCTCCCCGCCTGCTCTGGCACTCTCTCTCTCAAACAAATAAATAAATAAATTAAAAAAAAAAAAGAGTCCCGCAGGTTGGTGGCGGTCCCATTTTCCCAACTAGACTAAGGTTCAGACAAGTCCACTTGCTTGCAGTAACCCAAGGTCACCTTGCCAGGAAATGGCAGGGCCAGGACCACCTTTGGAGCCAGGGATGGACACCCAACTGGGTGCCTCTGCATGACCTTGGGTGACCTTGGCATCACGTGACAGAAACAGCACGAGCTGGGTGGTAAGAGTTTGGGCGACAGATCTACTGCTGACCTCTGGCCTCATGGGGCCAGAGAAGGCTCCCCTGGAATCCCCCAGCTCAGAAATTTCCCCCAAGTCCCCAGGATGGAACAGCTGCATGGGGGGGAGGGGACACAGTTGACTGCCCTCCCCCATTGGAATGGTCCCCAGCACCAATCAGCAGGCAGCAGCCCCGGGGGCGGAAGGGAGCAGGGGTGGGGGGCGATGGGCCTACTGATGCTTTAAGGAGCTAATTAACCTTTAGGAAACAGATGAAGCCATCAGGTGTCTCCTGGCACCATGCCAGGGCCAGCAGGTCAACACTGCCTCCCTGCCTGGAGCCACGGAGGGTCCTGGGTGGGGCAGGAATCAGGCAGCCCTATGGGGACCCAGCCACCTACACAAAGCTCCTCCACCAGGGTCAGGAGCCTGGAGGTGACCAGTGTGAGCCAGACTGTCCAGGGAGGCAGCCGAGCCAGAGACCTGAGGAAGGGACCCAAAGCCATGGCCAGGAGGAGGTCATTGCCCAGGTCTGTCCAATGCCAGGACCTGCATTCTTACCATTCTCTCTGGGTTTCCAGGAGCTCAGCCATCCCCATGCTACCTTCTCAATTCTTCCCTCACCACCTGTCCAATGGTTCACTCAGGACATTTCCTTATATCAGCTCATTTATTTCACCAACTTGCCTGATCTAGTCTAAGCACCAACAGCCATAAAATCACCAACGATATGTGCTGCTCCTATCTTCTCTAACACACGACAGAAACACAACCATGAAGACGACTGTCCTGGATCAAAGCCGGCCTCTCCAATAGTGAAACATCCCAACATCGCGTGCCCCCCTCGATCTGAAGCCATGGGAGGACGGGGCACCCACAGAGTCCTCCTGCCAGAAATAATCAACCTGAGTCTAATCATGGGAACATAACCAGACAAATCCGGAAGGCGGGACACTCTACAAGGCAACTGGCCAGGACACTGGAGTCAGTCAGTGGCATGAAAGGTAAAACGAGGCAGGGGATCATTCTGGAAAAAGGGAAAAGGCCATCAAGCACAACCCACAAAGCCTGGATTGGGTCCTCCATCTGGCATTAAAGACCGGCCGTGGAAAACACGATTCGGACCTCGGAGGGAGCTGCACCACGGGCCACAGTTGGATGTCCCCATGACTCCGCTGATTTTCTTAGGGGAGGGAAAGGCACGGACGTGGTGTGGGAGAATGCCCCTTTTCATTGGAGATGTGCCCAGCAGTATTTAGGGGTGAGGGTCAGGATGCCGGCAGCTTCGTGCGGGAGATTCGGAAATGCACACACACGCGCGCGCACACACACACACACACACACACACACACACATTTAGAAAGAGAAGCAGCCAGCCCTGGCAAAACGCTGGCCGTGGGCGAATCTTGATGAAGGACATACAGGTGCTCCCACACTGTCACCTCAATGTGGCTCCTACTTTCAAAATATAAGGTTGCAGGGACAAGTTTGTCCTCATCAGCCCACAAACCTGGGTGTGCCCCCACCCCACCCCCAGCACCAGAAGGGCCGGGGGTTCCTGCAGCTCTGACCACCACAGGCACAGGGAGGGAGGGAGGGGTGGGGGACGTCACGGGGTCCCTCTGCTCCACACTCCCCCTGGATACCAGAGTGACATTCCCATGCTCGGGCTTCCCAGCTCCTCCCGGGGGCCTCCATCCAAGTGTGAAATTAAACAGGCGTCCACCCACACCTCACTTGCACGAGGCGGGTCCAAGCTCAAGGCTCAGGGCTCAGGACAACAAAAGGCTGTCCTCAGGGCTACCGCAGCCCAGCACTGCCCCCTCCAAGCCCCTCGCTAGCCATCCCCCCAGCTCCCGACCTCTGCACCTGCTGATCCTCTGCCCAGGACATACCTCCTCACCTCCTTCTCCTGGGTAATTCCTATGCCCCTTTCCGATCCCCGCTGGGATGTCCCTTCTCTGCAGAGCCCTCCACTGAAGCCCCCCGATGTGTGGGAATCACTGTTTCCCGCCTGGTCTGTCTTGCCATCGGCTCACAGCAGAGAGGGGGACCAGGTGCTGCCCGCCGGGGCCAGCTCAGCAAGGGGGAAGGTGGTGAAACAGACTGGTCTGTGGAAGGGGCTCTGGGGCCAGCCCAGCCAGCACCCCAGGCCAGGGCTCTGGTTGTGGGGCCCTGAGCAATGACTCCACACCTCGGAGCCTCGGTTTACACATCTGGAAAGGAGATGGATGACAGCGTCTGCCTTAGAAGGAGAAGGGTATGGAAAGTGCGTGTCACGATGTCTGGCACCCAGCAGGCGCTCAACAGTGGCACTTTTTCTTCTCTTCTCAATTGGATGCTAAGTACCCAGAGGCCAAGGCACTTCTCCTGGCATGCCCCAGCATCACCTGGGCACCCGGCCCCATGTCCTGCACACGGGGGGCAAAGAATAAACCCTCCTCAATTATCCCTCGTCACCAAGCCACTTGGCTGCACTGGTGACCCATCCTACTGGGTTTCTCACACATGTTTACTTTTACAACTGCCATCGGCTTTGGCCAGCTTTAAAAACAAGCTGTCTTCCTCCAGCCCCCTCCTGCCTACAGGCCAGGGGGACCCAGGCTCATTAGGAAACCAGTATTTAAAACTGCATGGCTGAGGCGGAGGGAGGCTCTGGGTCCACATCCTGTCTCAGCCTTGTGTAGGCTGTGTTACTCTGA